AGATTTTTCCCTTCAATGTTTTAGGTGACAAGACGTATTAAACAGTATTAAAAGAGAAAGAACTATTGGAAAAGACACAGCACCAAGGGAAAGGATTGGAGAGCTTACACACAGTGTTAATTCTAAAAAAGGTTCAACAGCATAAAGATCTTGGAAAAAAATACTAGTTTTGTGCTTTTTTTTTTTTTTCTTGAAGTGTGGTGTTCCCTTTCAAGAGGAAGATGTAATTATCCTTAATGGTAATAAAGAAGATGTGGAAGTATTGAAGAAAAGAATGGAGGATAGAAGACTTAAAAGTAAATTAGAAAAGGTAATCTTTTTATACATTGTTTAAAACAAAATTAAAAGAACTCTTGTCTGTAATGCAATCTGCTCTTAGATCGCATGGCTTTGCTAATCTTTATGCAGACTGGAGCATTTATTCAGTAAGCTGTGTTGTACTTCAGTGCTACTTTTAATGAGATTGTGTGCATATTTGCTAATGGCATAATTAAGCTGTATGTACTGAAACTTTTTTTGACTAGCAAGCGGTGCATAGTGCTCTGAAAATCACCAAATTTGAATGCTATGGGTAAAATGGACAGTGTGACAGCTGTATTTTAGGGGTTTTTTGAATCAAAGAGCTTGTGTTAGTCAATTCTAGTATTGAGCAAAGTCTTCCCTGTATTTCATATGGTAGTTCCTGTTTTATTGTGATGGCAGGTTATTAGTTTTTTGATCTCCAAGTATCCTCTACTGGCCACTGTCAGAAACACAGTATTGGGATATGTAGATTCCTGGTCTGATTCTGAAAGACCACTGTTTGGAAATGTTGTCATTTCCTGAGTGATTACTGGCGATGCTAATTTCCACCGTACTATTGAGGTCTTTTCATTTATCTTTTTTTGTTGTTTTGTTTTATGCAAAGTGCCATGGAAATAAAGTTATTGCAGCTCACTATATACTCTACTGTATACTACTACTCTGTGAAGTAGTACTTGTTCTGTGGTACTGTACTGTCAATGACAGTTCTGCACATGGGATATTTTTCAGCGTTGCTATTTTTTTCTGAACTGGCATTGCTGTTCTGGAGGATGACAAAGTAAGCAAAAACTTAAGTGGTGACTCAATCCAGAGTGCAGACAGATTTAGTTGAATCTCAAGAGCATGAATCATCATTGTCTGACACTTCCAGCAACTGAGACTTTAGGTGGAGGTTGATCATCTCGCCCCTATTACTGCGCTTGATTTTGTCTGCCTGTAGGATTAGATGGCATACAAATGTTTTCCTAGATTGTTTTGAAACGAATACTTGTTTACTTACCAGCGAGCATATGATTCCTTCTCATCATCGGGTCTTTATTCATCTGTGCCAAGACAGCATCATTGGGCCTGGGCAATACAACAAAAAGATGGTTACCTATAGAAATCCTGCTGTTCTGTTTCCTCTCTGTTCATAGCCTCTGCACTTTGTGTCCTAGAGCTTCTGGCGTAAGAGAAATACTGTAAATCTTATGCTGTCTCTTCAGATGTTTTGGGGTTGTTTTTTTTCTTTCTTTTTTTTTTTTTCAGTATTCTCTAATTAAATGTTTGAAAGAATTTTAAAGATAATTTTATGATAGAATATTGCCGATCTCAGCAGATGAGTAATCAGCCCCCAAAACAGTGGTTGTTTGCACTTGATTTTCATTAGGAAGGTGGCCCTAACAAAGCACCTATAGCTTTGGTTCAGATAATTTGGAATACTCTGAAAGCTTGTGCTGTCCCCAGCTTCTGTGCAATAAAGAAGTGCCACCTAATTGACCTACTACGCCATCTGGACACTCACAAATCTGTGGGACCTGACGGGATCCATCCAAGAGTACTGAGGGAGCTGGCAGAGGTCCTTGCCAAGCCACTCTCTGTCATCTATCAGCGATCCTGGTCAACAGGGGAGGTCCCAGAGGACTGGAGGCTTGCCAGCGTGACTCCCATTTACAGGAAGGGTCGGAGGGAGGATCTGGGGAACTACAGGCCTGTCAGCCTGACCTCGGTACTGGGGAAGATTATGGAACGGTTTGTCTTGAGAGCACTCACATGGCAAATCCAGGATAGGAAGGGGATCAGGCCCAGTCAGCATGGGTTTACGAAAGGCAGGTCCTGCTGGACCAGCCTGATCTCCTTCTGTGACCAGGTGACCCGCCTAGTGGATGAGGGAAAGGCTGTGGATGTTGTCTACCTCGACTTCAGCAAGGCCTTTGACACTGTCTCTCATGGCATACTCCTTGAGAAGCTGGCGTCTCGTGGCCTGGATAAGTGCACCCTTCACTGGGTGAAAAACGGGCTGGCTGGCCGGGCCCAGAGGGTTGTGGTGAATGGGGTGAAATCCAGTTGGCGGCGGGTCACAAGTGGTGTTCCTCAGGGCTCGGTGTTGGGCCCTGTTCTGTTTAATATCTTTATGGATGATTTGGACGAGGGGATCAAGGGCACCCTCAGCAAGTTTGCAGACGACACCAAGTTGGGAGGCAGGGTCGATCTGCTTGAGGGTAGGGAGGCTCTACGGAGGGATCTGGACAGGCTGGATCAATGGGCTGAGGCCAATCCTATGAAGTTCAACAAGGCCAAGTGCCAGGTCCTGCACTTGGGTCACAACAACCCCATGCAGTGCTACAGGCTTGGGGAAGAGTGGCTGGAAAGCTGCCCGGCAGAGAAAGGCCTGGGGGTGCTGGTTGGCAGCGGCTGAATATGAGCCAGCAGCGTGCCCAGGTGGCCAAGAAGGCCAACGGCATCCTGGCCTGCATCAGAAATAGTGTGGCCAGCAGGAGCAGGGAGGTGATCATCCCCCTGTACTGGGCACTGGTGAGGCCGCACCTTGAGTCCTGTGTTCAGTTTTGGGCCCCTCACTACAAGAAAGACGTGGAGGTGCTGGAGCGTGTTCAGAGGAGGGCAACCAAGCTGGTGAGGGGCCTGGAGCACAAGTCTTATGAGGAGCGGCTGAGGGAGCTGGGGCTGTTGAGTCTGGAGAAAAGGAGGCTGAGGGGAGACCTCCTCGCTCCCTACAACTACCTGAAGGGGGGTTGTAGTGAGGTGGGTGCTGGTCTCTTCTGTCAGGTGGCTGGAGATAGGACGAGAGGAAATGGCCTCAAGTTGAGGCAAGGGAGATTTAGGTTAGATATTAGGAAAATTTTTTTTACTGAGAGGGTTGTCAGACATTGGAATAGGCTGCCCAGGGAAGTGGTTGAGTCACTATCCCTGGAGGTATTCAAGAAGCAAGTAGACAGGGTACTTCAGGACATGGTTTAGTGGGCATGGATGATGGCTGGACTCGACGGTCTTGAAGGTCTTTTCCAACCTAAATGATTCTGTGATTCTATGAATTGTGCTGAGCACTTCTGTTTCTTGCGGTGTCGGCGGTCCCTTGTGGTGGCAGACAAAAGGAAGTCATGCCTTGATCTTAGGGCTCTGTATGCCTTAGGTGAATATGCAAATATTTTTTGTTAGTTTAATGGAGACTTACATTACAGGCAGGTACGATATTTGCAAATCTCTCAGCAGACCTCTTGCATTTCATCCTTAAGTTCTGATTTTTATTTTTTTTTCAATACTGCCTTGCCTTGCTGCACCAGCTGATCTTTCTGCAGCTAGAACCAGTCTCCTCTGCTGTCACTGGCACTATTCATTCTAATCTGAGATCTGTGAGCTCCAGTCCCAGCACCAGAAGACAATTTCTGGTTTGGGATCTGTTGGCACTGTTGTTCCAACCTCTTCATCAGTTCCCCCTTTCAACTAGCGGAGCAGTCTAAGTGGACCTACTGTATTTGGAGCAGGAAGCACAAACTCCTTTATACCAATGAGACAAAGCATGAGGAAGATGCAGCTAGCACTGGTATAAAAACTTATTCAAGCTCAACTATGCCATATATGCCCATGATTAAATATGTATAATATATATGCATTATGTATAATATATATGCATACATATATTTACAAACATCTCATAATTCAGATACCGGGAGGTAACTTTTCTTTGTAAATCCACCCATAATAACATAAGGTGGAAGCACCCTGAAAAGAGGTCTTTCATGTACAATGAAGGGCACCAGGAGAGCCAAGTTTGCTTTTAGACTAGTAACCCTTTGCCGCCACCTTCTGGCTAAGCTTTGCAGCAACATGTGGTACGACATTTTTTTTCCTGAAGCATGAATCATATACTAGACAGCATGGGTTCTCCTAATTTTTATAACACTTTTTTTTTTTTTTTTTTTTTTTAGTTTGTTTTTTTTTTTTGAAATACCTACACCATTCTGAATGTATACAGAGTCATCTTTTCTGATAATAACACCAATGACTGTTTAAATACATATTTTCTTTTTCAGTTTGGCATTTATATAATCAGAGCCAGTAATGGGATTCTTGTTGCTGTTGTTTGGGGGTTTTGTTTTGTTTTGTTTTTTTTAATCTAGACAAACATAAATTAACTTGGAAAATCTGGTCCACAGATGTTTTTAAGAATTTTGGATTAACTATTTGCATCTTTTCTTCCCAAGCAATCCTGCAACAAAAGGCCCAGTTATTGAAAGGTACCCAGGAGGGATTTTTTTCTTAACTAAATAAAATAAAGTGGATATGAGATGCAAGATCATTCTGAATTTTTTATTGAAAAACATCTTTATTGATTAGAGTTAACTGTGTCCTGTTTAATGTCGTGCAATTTACTGTCCTGCTGTGTGGGTTCAGTGTATCAGATTACCTTAATGATGATAACACACACTCCCCCTGCAAAGTATACAAACTAAAATACCGTATCCAGATAGCTTGGTTTTGGCCTGCACGATTTTCCTTAAGGTACCTTTAAGGTTGCCAAGGTTATTATTTTTCCATGTAGAAATAATACCAAAAGTGTGGAGCAATATTATGAAAGGAGGAGTTCCACTGTATAAGACATAAAAATGTACTAAATGGAATTGTGTGTCTATCAAATACAAGTTGGGAATTGTTTATCCTTTCAGTACGTTACCAGATTTCTGCTTGTGTTGTTTCAGAAATCAAAGAAATGTAAGCCAGCAGAATCAGCTTCTCAGCAAGATACCACTGAAGGTAATGTCACAGTTACAAATTGTGTGCAGCCTTCTGAGTCATGAAACAGATTCATTATTTCATTTTGTTTCTTACATAGAGTCTCCAGGTCCATCAAAGGCTAAGAATGGAAAGGATTGTATCAGTTCTAGCTCTGGGGAAAAGAGGCAGATTATCTTCACCAAAAGTTCAGGTTGGTGTTTATTCTTTAACCTAAATGTGAAAAATGTGAACAAATAGTTCTGCTTTGGAAAATATTGTAGGAGAGATCCTTCTCTGGCTGTTTTGAACTATAGTTTTCAGAAGTTACCCTCTCACTTCCTTTTTTTATCTTTCTCAGTAATAAAAGGTCAACTCCTGTCTTCAGGGGAGCTTACTTTTTCAAAGAATCCCCTCTTTCAAAAGTCTGTCCTAAAAGGCTGTCTTTCCAAGCTGGAGTAGGAAGCTGCCTCATGAACATGCACAAATCTCCTTGTTCAACAGAAATTGTAGTCAGTTTAACTTTTTAATAAAACAGAGCTTTGCTTTACAATCTGCAAAATCTACAAAACTGACATAGAGAAACGGTGAGGGCTCCGGTTTGTCCATTTTCTCCTTATTCTACCCAGTTTGCCTTTGTCCCATCTGCTATCCATCATCCTGTACTCTGAGAGTAGGGACTGACTTATTGTTATACTTCCACAAAATACCTAAAACAACAGGGTCTGTGTTCACGCTTGTGACTGGCAAGTGCTGTAGTGATGCAGGTAACTAATAGAAATAATAAAACACTTTTCACCACGTTACATTTTTTTTTTCACTGTGAAACAAGCCAGATATACTTGTTTATGTCATTCCAATATTGCTTTAAGTTGGTGGGAACCAATTTGAATGAATGAGATTAGGGATTCTTATTCACACAGTGATATAGTCAAGGGTTTGGTATATCTGTTTTATTGAGTAGGAGGTAGTGTGAAGAGAATTAGTAGTTGTTTTCCTGAAGTACAAGTGGTCAAGAAATCTGTTATGGCAGTTTATTTCAATGAAGTGTATAAAAATATCCCAAGCTGATGACTTGACTTCTAGTCCTCCGTTTTAGTTGCTAATTTGCTGTGTGTCACTGGGAGCAGTGGAATATAACTTCAGGATGTACTGATGTAGGTACATGTAGCTACAGAAGTCGTGCAGCTATGAGTAAACTTGGCAATCCTTTAGTCCAATGGATGGTGCCCTCTCTTTATGTAATATACATTATGTTATTTAATGTCTCCAATTCATACTCATGTTTTCATACGGAACTATAAGAATGGGTACGCTTTAAAAGTCAGTCGGAGGTTTCTCTGTGAAGTGTTCAATCGTGTACATTACAGCCACAGAAAAAGTCAATATAATTTATTTGAAGAATCTGAGAATAGTTAAATGATGAACTGTAGACAGACTATGTGAGAAGCTGGGAGAATTTCCGTCAGAAGTGCCTTACCTGCCCCCTACTGTCTGTTTTCTTAAAGGATAGACTTTTAAAAATACTTCATTCCAGACAATTATAATTGCTCTCGGACGTTTAGGAACCTAGTAATTCTAATAATGTTTGATGTATTTTTCTTTTTCAAGAGTGTAAAAGAAAAATACGCTTTTTGAAATGTCAGGTCATGGGTTTGTGTTTCTGGCAGCAGTTATATTGACCAGCAAGAGACTGAGAGGGAAAATAAAAGGAAAATCCATGGACTGAGGAATGCCAGTAGCATAGGAGTTAATTTGTGAACATGGCACCCTAAGGTTTCTGGACTTGCAGCATACATATTCGTTCTTTCAAATCCAGTGTTTGGTAATTCTTTCCAGACAACTATTGGTGGCATTAAAAGCAGCATTCTCCAAATATAAAAAGGGTCTGATCTATGATGGTTTAGGATTGCACATATAATTCCTATGACTACGTGCAGAAATCAGTTAAATGCATTTTCAGACAGGCTCCCTACTAGCTATTTACATGCCGTTGTGCCCAAGTTAAACTAAATTTGTAGAGTTTCTGCGGACATCTATGTATTCATTTCTTTGCACAAGAGACTTGGCACATGCTTTTTAAAATACTGTCCTTCAACTTTGGAGAAGATTAAATAGTTGTTAGAAAGGAGGGGTGCGGGTTTGTAGCAGTAGGTATAATACACTGAGAGAGTATCAGAAACAGAGCGATGGGCATTTTCCTGTCCCAGATGTAAAATGAAGCAGACCATTGTTATTGGTCATAAATGACTTTGCAAAGAATAAAGGGAGGAGATAGATTCCCTACGGACAATATGTCACAAGTTTAGCTTTTGTCATTTGATAGCTAATTTCTAAACAATACTTCAGGGTGGTGGAATACTTTCATGTTTCTTTCTTAAGACTAGAGTTCAGAGCCATTTTTCACTTAGAGGAATAAATGTTGTCAATACTAAATTACAGTGCAAGGGATTTACACAAGTAGGAAAGAATTCCTCTCTCTCCAAGATTTCTAAATGCATTTTGAGCATAAATTCTAAAAGCTAGGAACATGTTTGCTGTTAGGAACATGTTTACTGTCGAGTACAATCATGGGATTTATTTGCAATAGCCCTGAAGAATTGTATATACTTCATCTGTGTACACATTTTTTAAATACTTTTTTCCATCTTTATCTAAATACTTAATAATTGTAAGCTGTTGTGCATGCTTCATTCTATTCCTTTTTCTCTATCAGATAATGGAAATTCATCTGTACCAGGAAAAGTCAATAAGGCTTCTTCTACTACGAAGAGATCCATTGCAGACAGCGAGGAGAAATCTGAGGCGTACAAATCTATTTTTACATCACACAGCTCAGCAAAACGTTCAAAGGAAGAGTGTTCCAATTGGATTACTCACACAGCGTACTATTTCTGAAACAATGATGAGCCTGATTGTAACATTCATTACTTCTTTCCTTCCCTAAGGCTTTTTCTGTACAACTCTGATACAGAACTTTTGTTGTAATCTGATGTTATCTGGAATTGTTCAGTTCATAAGTTGTTTATAAACTTGTGAATAGCTAATGAACTTGTGTTAGTTGCAGTTTCTGTTAAATAAGAAATAGATCACCAGAACCCATGTTGTATCAGCTGATATCATTCTAAAATGATGGATTATTTGCACAAAGATTTTTCTTTTCTTCTCCCAGTTGGATGCTGTCATTCTTAGTCACACTAGCTAGCATCCTCAGTAGTAGGAGTGAGGGTAGAAGGATCTGCCTACTGTCCTCTTCTATTGCTATTTGCCACAACTGTAATTATAGTTTTCAACGTATTAGTACAGAAATTCAAACCTTTTGAAACTTTCTGACAGTAAAAAGAGCAATAATGCTTTTCTTTTGTACTAGCTAACCGGGCGCTCAGTAAAACTAGTATATGTTTCTTAAAGGTTCTGTAGGTATTTTCAAGTAATTTACCTTTAGATGGAATATATGAAAGCATAATAATTAAAATGTTTGTGCAACATTCTTGTACATATTGTTGTAGCCTATTTTTAATAGCAGAGTATTCAATTCTAAACCATTATCTATAAAAATGAGCCTGTAATAGTAAGGCTGTTTTCTTCCCAAAAAGGTTTTGGGAATTTTCTTTGTGGGTGTGTGTTTTAAAGTTAGAAGTATCGGGTCAAAGCTTGCTTTCTTTTGTCAGAGGATCAGAATACAGTGGAACAAAAGTATGAGTTTCCTTACTTTTCTGCTGAAACAGTAAGGTTCTGTGTACATCTCTGAAGGAGCAATTTTCCATTTTGAATTCAGCAGCTTACATGAAAATATGAGCATTTGCACAGGGTGAGAGAAAAACAGGTGGTGACAGAATAGGAGCAGGCAGATCTTAACTGGCTTTTTAGGGAGAAAGGATTGACCACCAGTGTCATGCAAGTCAAACCCATTGGTGGCTGATGGAGGGAACGCTGCAAGGCTGGAGTTAGCTTCTGAGAACATTTCTCTTTCATTTTGTGGGCAACTGAAATGTGCTGCTTTTACAACATTTGTAGTACACATTGTTTTATTTTCTGACATAAAATTCTTAACAGCAAACAACTCTTCGACTTAATTGCTTGTTACAGAAAGATGCTAAGCACAGTATGTCACTCAGTCTTGCTTTTATATTTATGCTTTTTATCCCTGTGACGTTGGTTTAAATAAAACTTGCTCTTGTCATATGACCATAACACTTCATGTTCAGTTGAACAGATATACAAATGCTTATTTTGTTGGTGTTAGAACAGAGTAACTTTTTATGGGATTTCCTTTGGCCCCTTCATTCTTAGCTTTTTTTTCCAAATGCAGGAATCCTTTTAAAATGTTAATGTTCCATAGCAATGATTTGGTGGCTGAATATTTGAATCCAATAACATCTACATGAAATGACCAGAGGGAGTGATGGAAGCTTTTCACCTTCTTCTCTTCCTCTTTTAAAATTAAAATAAGCTTTTATAATCTTGGCACAAACTAACCAGAATAGAGATGCAGAAAGTAGGAGGCTTTTAAAACCACTGCATGCTGTTACATTGTTACCTTTGTGTGTGAAAATGATTAATTATCCTCATAACTTATTTTAAAAGTGTCCCCATTTATAATTGGCAATAGTTAATTGGAGATTCAGATGTTGTGTTTATATTTGCGTAGGTGGTCTCCATGATTCAAGCATGTTAATGCAATTGCTAGAATTTTATTATTATTTTGATAGGTATAATTAAAAATTGGCTTGTTGTAGAATTTATATAGTGGTAAGCATTTTTGTTTTCCAAACATGTGAATGCATATATACATCACATCAGACAGTTTGAGGTTTACTTGAGCTTCCAGGAAGCATTCAGCCACGTTTTATGTGCATGTGTGCATGTCTAGTATTCAGCTTAGTTCTCCCCATTCGGTATTCTTTTCCTCTTCGTTATTATCCTCTATTATTTCTTAGTTACAGATAATGAAATTACTGCACTGAAAGATATACTATAGTAGGCCCTTTATTTGCAGTCTAATTCTGTTTTAACAATACATGTTAAAAGTCTTATTAATGTTTTATAGGAGTGCATTTTTCTTCTATTTAAATCAGTTATAATTCCTAAGGGGAATTAACATAATGCTTTTGATTTAACTCTTACTTTGCTAAAGAATATGAGAAAACATAATATGCAGTTTTGATTCCCTTTTCTTGATAATGTTAGGCAAAGTCCAGCCTGCTGACTTGCTAACAGGCTTTCCTGGACTTTTTTTTTTCCTTTCAATCTGACCTGTTCCTCTATTAAAACAAGTTCATGACTACCGTGATTTGGTATAATGTACAGATGCTTCATACACACTTGGGTTTATTATCTGGAATTGGTAGTTCATGCTGTGCCACTTTGTTAGGATTTTGTTTGGTAATTTACCATCCTGACTTTGTGGATGGAGTTCTTAACATGCCTATGGTTTATAGAAGTGTTGCCAGTGACTGATGAGGTCTTTTCCTTCCCGTTACAAAAAACAGCTGTGAAGGGATGTGATATATTGTTGGCATGTGATGCAATTCATCGCCACAATTGACTTTTGTTAATGTAAAATAGAGGAGCAAAAAACTGACACTTCTGTTGTTGGCAGGCTGGGTTAGGCAGTTGAGACTGGAACGTTGACTTGGCAAGTTTTAATAGATTCAAGAGAATAGTTTGCTGGAGGATGTTTGCTTTGTTGTGGTTTGCTTTTTGTGGGGGAGGGCAATTTAATTTTCTTTTAATGTAGGTGAATTTGAATGTTGGTGAAAGTTGAAGACTGCAGAAGTCTTAGAATCTGAAACCTATATTTTTTGAGATGCCACATAAGTCTCCCACAGCATTGCACCCATGTGTCTCTCTTCTGAGGAGTTCACCGAACAGTTAGTTTTGTTTCCATGATGTTCAAGCCGTGGCCTCTCTTCTGAAGAGCTTAAAAAGGACTCAGTTAGTGTCAGTTGTATAATAGGGGGACATGTTTTGTGGTGTGGAACCTGCCCACTGGGAACTGGACTGAAATTCACCAACTTCCTTCCCATAGCCCAATAATCAAATGCTGGTCATGAAACCCGGTCTAGATACGCACTAGAGAAAAGGGACTGTAAAGCTATATATGCTGGTTTACAGTCCTGTGAACTGTCTTTCTGCACACTTGCAGAACATTCAGTCCTTCCGATACTGGTACCTCTAAAACTGAAAACCTGAGGGTGTTCACACATTCGGACTCAGCGGAGATCAGCCTGGTATCAGCGTTCAATACTGCAGCTTTATTTCCTAGTCACACCAAATTGGATGTGATATTTCATGTTGTTTCACGGGATATCCAAAAACTACCTTTTCCCCTTGTCCCCAGTGATCCGTAACAGTACCTGTAGCCTCAGACGCAGTGCAGCAGCTACGACGCCCTACTGCAGCCCGTAAACCACCTTGTGCTCGCCTGTGCCATGCGCTGATTTGCGAAGAGGACCGGAGGTGCTGACGCTGTGGCTTTTTGTCTTCGCGGAGAACAGTGAACTTGGCATACCTTGAGCCTTGCATGCCAAACATCCTGGAGCTGGCAAAGGTGGGTTTGGGGTGGATTGCTCTTTCCTGGCTCCTGCACACTGCAGTAAAAGGTGGCTTCCCTCCTTTACTCCCTAACCCCTAGTACCTCCATTCTTTGCGCATCTCCTGACCTCACCACGTTACCGGTACCGTTGGCTCCTTCCTATGCGTTTTTACTAGCAGCTAGGCGGGAGGTGTGTGCTAATCAGCCTGCTGACAGGTAGTGGCAGTTCTGCAGCCTGTCCCTTTGTAAGGGCATTGCTGTTGGAAGTCTTATCTCTCCAGGCATTTTTTTTCCCCCAAGACCTCTAAAAATGGCATGCCTTCAAGGGTTTTATATCTCTGTGAATCTTAGTTGAAATTAATGTTTTATAACGTTGCTGGTACAAGTGAGGGTGTAGCAGCCCTGAATCTCCAGAAAATTAGACTAAAAGCCTTCAGACAAAAAGCAGTACCCCCAACAGCCATTGGGAAGGCAGAGTTGAAGAGGAGGAAGGCGTAGTATCTGTTCTGGAAAGACTGGTATTTAGTGACGTCCTGCTGATAAAAGTGTAGTTAGTGAATAGTAAGCTTCAAGGGACAGAGTTCATTCTATAAGGATATGTTAAATTTTATTTCCCTCGACTGTTTTTTTAGAAGTAATCATAGAACTGTCTTCTCTCTAATGGGAATAAAGTTTGAGAGGCGTGCAGTGGGAATATGCATGTGGTTTGCAAAGACGGTTGGGAGATTTTAGTGGAATCTTGGAACCTCTCTGCTTCAGTCTTCAATGTCCATGCCATGAGATCATCACATGCCTGTCAAATTGACTAAAAAAAGCTTAAAGTTCCCTTTAAAACATGATGCTTGTTAGAGTAAAATATTTCTTATTAATGTCCTATTCTTAGCTAAACTGAACGAACACAATTGTCTTTAAGTGTCCTGTCTTGCTTGCTTTTGCAGCCTAGACGCCAGTTGCAGTTGGCATATTTTGCTCTAGATTCAGAACTGCGGTGACCCTGCCAAATAGTTTCTTAGTTGCATTTAAAAATAAAAGGGCTGTTTATACGTTACAATCCACAGAGGGTCTGAAATCAGTATGTCCTAAGATGAATACAAATCATAGACAAAAAGTGTTTTGTTGGAAGGCTTCACAAATATGGAACTGATTACTGCTAGACAGCGCAGATTTCCTTCTGTAAAACGGAACCGACATAATTCCTTCCTGACAGCTAGAAATTATAATTGAGTTGGGTTTTTTGTGTTTTAAACTTTATCAACCTTCAAAATGAGCAAGTGGGGCGGAATTCTAATCCATTGGCAATTGATGGGAATTCTGCCTATAAGCCAGGACTTTAATCTAAATATCCATCCAACTGCCCAGTTACTGTGGAGGTACAATTTCATAGCTGTGGTTTTGTCAAACATTTAACTTCATGTGGATTAAAATATCTCTTACAGGTCAGTGACAGAATTCAATTTGCAGATTGACCACAGATCTTTTTTGGGGAAGAACCGATTTCACTATGACATCGAGTAAAACAAAATTCTCTTTTTAAAATGTTGCCCTACCAGCTCTTTGTAACACATCCAGCAGAACTCAACCTTGGTGTAGTATTCGTGACATCTCTAAGAGGTTTTCTCAAAAGTTAAGAGTTTGTGGAAAAACAACCTCTTCTCCTTCTAGAAGCATTCATCTGTCAGACTGCACTGCTACTTCCCCCCCCCCCAGTTTTTCCCTTGTTCTTCTCATGTGCCTCCTCCTTTCTGCTGCCTACAGAAATCCGACAGTGCTTTGCTTGATGATGGTCGGGAGAGCAGGGAATAGGGAATGATGAGGGTGATCAATGCTCTGGTTTTGCAGCTGTTAGCTCTTTGGGGCTGATTTGCATTTGTTATGCAGCCAAGAGAGGCTGCCTCACCCAGCTAAACCTTCTCCATCTTCCAGGCCACGTCCTGAATTTGATGGCAGTTTGAGTCAGGACAGGCTCGTAGCTTGTCGCTGTACGAATTATTTACTTTGCTTCCTGCGTGGTGGTTTTTAAAGAGCAGAGTTGTATCTACAGTGGAGAACATCAAGACGTTCAATCTCTCGCCTTTCCATGTTACTGGTAAGAAGGTGTTTCCCTCTTGCTTCTGTGATCTTGGATGAATGTCCAATCTTTCACTCCCTTCTTTCCCATATAAGTTATTTCCCCACTGCATGAGGATGTCTTAAGACTTTTAAAGATGTCAGTAATTTGTAAACAGAAGAAGAGGAATGCTTTTCCCGTGGGCTGTCAAAGGCTGACTTGACTCTGGGAAGAAGTGGGTTGTTAGCCTAAAATAGAAACAATTCGACAGTGTATATTTTCTTAACAGTCATGGATGTCACATTTTAATGCCATGAGTTTCCTCTTTTTTAATTAAAAGTAATTCTGAGGAATCACTTAGTATCCACTTTGCAGTGATAAGTGGGGTTTGCCCTATTAGCATTGAAAGGGCTGCATTGAACGGGATGGGTGTAGCTTTCTTCAACTTGCCTACAAAGCTAAAGAAATGCAAAGCAGCTTATTGCTCAATTATGCTGACTTGAGCAACTAGGTAGGACAAATTAAAAAAAGAAAAAGGGAATATCTAGTCTCAACCTGGGTATTTAATGGGTCCCAAAATGTGCTGAACTCTTCAGTCTAAATGGGCTCTTTAGTGTGGTGTCAAATAAGTTAAAAAGCAAGGGAGCTTTACAAAGCTTCCTTCATTGTTTAAACTTGTTTAACTCATGTTAAGGCTAATGTACATTTATTCAGACTGACAAAGTGCTGAATTTACACAACAGGGATAGTAATAATTAGGTCAGATACTTTTTAAATGGCGGTGGGGGGTGGGAATACTTGACTCTTTTATGCTTATGAATGGAAATGATGATTAGCAGTGGCCGAGGCCAACCGCAATACCTGTCTATGCTCTTCTCACCCCCAACGATTCCCCCCCCACATCCAGTGCTGAGAGTGCCATGTCCCAGCTCCCAGCCCGTCTGTTCGAGCAGCAGCTGCCAGTCAGGCTTTGCATTAGTGTTACTTGTGAAAACGTGGTATTCCTGACGTGATGACATGTATTTTTAGTAAGCCCATAACTGTCCTTTGAAGGTGGCTCTCAACTTCCTTGCTGGGATCTGACTGAGGCCAATAAATTACACTAAAGAAGATGAAAACTCGATCATTAAAACTGCATTATCTGTTCAAGCTTAGGAAGTTGAACTCTAATCCTTCATCGTGCCCACTTAAGACTACCTAGTTCTTATATATTTATTGTAAATGTTCCCCTGAACTGTTAACATCCCCGCGGTTCGGAGATGAGATGAGGTGCCTGCATCTCGCACCTTTCTCCGAGATTTTTGGTGCTGGTGACTCCTAGGACAGAATCCTGGATTACTTAGTCCCTGGAGCTGATCCAGCACAGCAGGATTTGTTTCTCCGAGAACGTTTTTTCTTGGCTTTCCTAATATTTGAACAAGCACTCTTGTTTAACTCGGTGAAACAGAATCTGCTTGCATTTGAATTGTGGTCAGCAGCGGGCATGCTGGGCTGGTTGGATCTCTTAAGCTGTAGCCATTTACTTCCCCATTGAGATTTAAGCTACTCATAGCTCATTTGGTTTGCATGTTTCCATTCTTTAAGGAATCATTAAACACTCTCAAACATACCCGTCGGACTGGCTGCAGCGGCTGCCGCCCGCTGCGCAGGGCAAGGTCGATAGGCAGAACCATCCCGGCACTCCTACGTTTAAAAACCGCAGGAAAGAGCTGGAATTTGACTGAATGGGTGAAGATTTAGTGTCACGCACACCAACTACCTGAGAACAAGTACCTGTAAATGTATAGGAGGGTGTGCTCCGGGTGCGAATGCCGCCTCCCAAGCAGGGAGCGGGCATAGGCGCATCTGCAGCATCCCTGGGTGGGAGATCTGGTGCTGTAAAACGCATCAACTTCGAATTGAAGTACGAATTGCTGAGCTGGAACCGCAGGAGCTTTGGTCACTGCACTGTACCTATTCCTGAAGAATTTGGGGTTGGGTTGGGTTGGGTTGTTTTTTTGGTGTCCCCTCCCCCCCCTTCGGCTTTGCGCCAAAATACCGCAGCGACTAAACCCGAGCTGCACTTGGTCGTGTTATCCATACGGTGGCACCAAAAGAACAGCCCAGAGACCGGCCGGGGTCGGATCCGGTAACGGCTGCGGGCGCCCGGGGGGGCGGGGGCCCCGCGGGCGGGGGGCGGCCCC